GAACCTTCGTAGGGATCTCGGGAATATTGTCGTTCGACCAGGTGCATGAAAGTCGGCTCGTGGTAGAGCGGAAACATGCAGTTGAAGTTGTCGAAGAAGTCTTTGAAAAGCGACATGGCTTCATCCTTCGGTGGCAACGGCTTGAACACGCGGCGAGCAAATATATCGCTAAAGATTTCAGGCTTCCAGTACATCCATTTGTTGTCATCTACATAGGCTGACGAGATCATTTCTTGAAATGAGGTATCGCCCGTTTTCTCATTGACCCATTGGATGCCTTTGGGAGAGAAGATCGAAAAACCTGATGACGAACCTGAGATGGGACGATCAGTAATTTATGCTTATCAGCACGTTAAGTTGTTGGGAGGTTTACCGATGTATCGCGTCTCCCCACAGTTATTTGTCACGAGGGAACACATCATGTCTGACAGGCCTTCAACCTCCGTCTCTGATTCCTTTTGCGATTCCGGGGACGTAGCAGCTGTCCGTGGGCTTGATTGAGACTCTAAGCGAGGAGTAGAATAGTGCGATGAGCTATTTTGCTGTGACATAGCGGTCTGAGTCTGGCTGGGGATGTTGATCTTCTGCGGATTATGCGGAGTATTCGAACCGCTTGTGTGATACCGGTCAGCAAGACGCTTCTCCAGCGTTCCAAGGTCTGTTTTTCCTCCATCGTCTTCTGACAAGAGACCAGAAAGGCGCAGTAAAGACTCCATCCTCCCCAGTCGGTTTTCGAGGCCCTCGATATATTTGGCACTAATCGCGATGGAAAGTCAGCATGGGCATCCAGACGAGAAGCAGAGAAGTAAGCATACCCTTTAGGAGGATTCCGCTTTTTCTCAACCTGGGTAAACACACAATCCGTCTTGTAGTTGGTACAATGCGAGCATTTGGGCATCTTCCCATCACATTTGATCTTCTTCTTCCGACACATGTCGCAGGCCTACCTCAAAGACAGTAAGTCAACGGGTGAGCTCGAATTCAGAGCACGAGATGCGTTCCCACTCACCCTCGCGATCCTTCTGCGTTTCGCATCACTGTTGTCGTCCGCCGTCCCGATTGAAGGTTCATCATGAAAGGTGGGATTGGAGAAAATGGGAGCGACGGGAGAGCCATCATGTCCGTATGACCCGAACAAATGAGGTTGCTGATTCATTAGCATGGGCATATCGAAGCCCATGCTCTCTGTTCCGTCCCCTATACCATCCATCGCAGTTGCATGTATGGCAGATGATGCCTGTTGTCGCAAGTAGCTCTCTGATGGCAGAGTGGAGTTAACAGGCGTTTGACTCGAGTGATCTGATCAATGCGGGGTTTCAATATCCAGATTCGGAGGCCGATGTAGAGGATAAGCAGGTTGGTATCCGCTCCGATTCGACCAGTATGCAAAATGAGTGACTAGGGATGGTCGATGACGATCGCCATGCAGCGCGAAATCGCTGGTAGAGGCGGCAAAGGCTGTCGAGAAAGAATAAAAGGATGAATCAAAGACGGTCAACTGGCTTACTCGATCTTTGCCCCGAGGCAAGCACGTGGCGAGCCCAAATACTACACCTTCAAAAGGTGGGGAATGAGAAAATCCTTCTCTCTCGTCAGCTGCAGATTAGAACTGCTACTGTCTGAGTACCATGTAGGCGACAAGGACGATCATCAAGGAGAAGAAGATAAAATTCGTTGAAGGAAGAGAGAGGAATCATAGTTCGGTTTGCAGATTACAGTTACGTATCAAACGGTGCTGCCTTTGGTTGACCAAGTCCGCTTAGTTGAGAGACTAGAGTGCAGCTAAATTCTTACAGGCTATCACAGAAGACTTGGGCTGAAGCTTCCTGACCATACAGATTGGGCGCTGTTCCTTTTGTTTCTGCTATCAACCGATTAATAATTTCCAGAGTTCTAACTCTATCTAGTCTGAGACACTGAACAGATAGTCCGTCTCCCCGTGGTTCAGAGTTTCAACTAGAAGTTACTGTCACTCTTCCCTCCGCGACTAACTACAATCGACTAAGCGGGATCATCGCAACGGAAGCCGTTAACCCCGAAATCCGAGCGAAACCACAGCATGGGATTTTGAGGTTCCGCCTTCCATCGCTTTGGAACCCAGTGGGTTATCCAGAGTGGCGGTGGTCATGTGCTTTTCCCTTCCGAGATTCTGATGGCCTCATGGAGCCATGAATCATCCAGGATCCGGGATCTACGATCCATCGAGTATCACAAACGGATCCCGTGGTCGACGCACTCTGCGCACGACTTGGTTGTTGTGTTTGAAAGAGTTCTACAACGAAAGTCAGCACTAGGGACCATCTACAAGAGAACGGAGTCCCCAGTCCCCAGTCCACTGCCCAATTTCTTCTTTCGTTCAGTCACCGTTTATTATCATCCATTGCTCGGTGATAACCGTATTCGTATTTCGTATGGCCGTATTCGTTATCCTTCAATCTTTCTTGGCAGAGTGTGCGTTATTTGTTCGGTTTGAGGCAGTACACAGCCCTCCCTCGTCAATGATCGACATCGACAGGGGGTCAAGACTCCTCAGCATCGCTTTCCACATTGTTATCAAGCGTCCGGTGACTGTATAGGGCGGAGAAGATTCAAATGCAGTGTGATTCGAATATGCATAGTCAAGTACAATTATGAAGCACGGAACTAAACAATCAGGAGCGGCGATCTCGTCAGGACATCTGCGGTGAAAATATACATCTCCGAAAAGGAGCCCCGGGGTTATAAGTATGATTATATCCCGTCCTCAAATCCAACCAAACGCCACGCTATGCACCCACAAAAAGTCATCTTTTGTACAATGGACGAACGGATACTCGGAAAGAAAATAAGAATCCTAGTACACCGACATTGGTCCTGGATTGTCGAGAGCGATTTATCGATATAGAGGATTCATCATGTGTGCTTGTCCAAAAACTCCTTGGCTTCGTTGATCTTGGTCGCGAGATATGGGCTTCCACCACGATCAGGGTGGTTCAGCAGCATGAGTTGGCGGTGCTTCTTGCGGACCTTCTCCTTGTTCAGAGTCCGCTCGCTGAGCTGTGTTAGTCAATTCGGACGGTGGAAAGGGAGGGATTAGTAGACGTACGGAAGTTCCAGGATCAAAGATGCTTCACGACGGGTCATGCGTGGCTCAAATCCTCTAAGCACCTATCAGCCAACCTCGACTCGTTCTAATTACATGATCAAAACGGATGAGACCTACCCCTTGTAAAATGCCTTTCCCATAGCGTTCATACCTCCCTGGTAGCGGCGAAGAGCGACGTAACCAGCGCGACCCTGCAGAACAGAAAGAAAACAGTCAGCCGACTAAGTATGGGAAAGTAGCATGTAGAACTCCTTCCTTACCAGAAAGGCCGCCGTAGCGACACCAAGGCCGATAGCGAAAGTTGAAGCCATGCTCAAGTGGGCTGCAGACGTAGCAGATCAGGGAACAGCTCAAGCAATATATCGATGAGGGTATGGATCCTAGATGGCAATCGAAGTTCTGACGTTGGAGAAAATCGGAGCGCTGTCGAGATAAAAATCGGAACGCCGCCGCGATGCCTATTTGGGTTTAGCGCCGTCTCCCTCCACGCTTCGAAGCTTTGTAAAAGTTTCTACGGATTTTCGAGCCGCCTTTTTCACGATATCAACTTTTTGCAATAAACCAGTCCCTATAACATCACGATGAGGGTAGAAACTTGTCATTTTTGCTCCAGGTAATATCTGTCTGATTACAGAGATTAGGGTCCAACATTGACTTTTCAAACAGGCCCGTATACCCGAGCAAGGGTATCACCTTCGTCCGCAACGATGCGAAATCTTTCCGATTCTGTCAGTACCCAGTTCTACATCCACCCCATGCACGACAACAGATCTAACTCGGTTGCAGGTCGGAGCAAGTGTCATGCAAACTTCAAGATGAAGCGTCAACCCCGAAAGCTGAAGTGGACCAAGACTCACCGTGCCGCCCGCGGAAAGGAAATGATTGTCGACTCGTCCCTGGTGCTGTCTCAGTTCGCCAAGAAGCGGAACACCCCCGTCAAATACGACAGAAACCTGGTTGCTGCTACCATCAAGGCCATGGAGAGAGTGGAGGAGATCAGAGCCCGCAGAGAGCGTGCGTTCACAAAACGCAGGTTGGGCGGCAAGCTGGCCCGCGAGCGCAAGCGCGAGGAAGACCGCAGGGTCGTTGCGCAGGGCGAGCACCTCATCCGCAAGGAACTGCGGGAAAGAGAAGAGGGCCAGCCTTTGGATGTCAGCAAGATCTCAAGCAGAGTGGTCGGCGAGGAGAAGCTCAGACAGAAGAAGAAGACAAGACTGTTGGTGGATGGAGGTGTCGAGGAGGAAATGGACCTCGACTAGAGGGTTTCTCTTTGCTGAATTCTTTCTTGCTTTCCTTTTCATCAGATATGATATCTTGGGTTTACATGGTGGAGTTAGGTTTCTTTCTGTGTCTCAACCGTTTTCTATCACAAAAGCATATCCTGAGGAGCTTATGACGAGCATTTGTCCTATATGTGACCTTTCCAGCCCTCCTGCTGTTCATATATGATTCACTTCTATTCGAATACAAGGCTTGACACTAATTTCTTGCTTGCTTGCTTTTCTGTCCCTCATATGTGGGTCATTTCTCTCTCTTCACTTGCACCAGCTCACCTGCCAGCCCTGACAGCATTCACTGTTGAGACTTTCACCTTCAATAGTGAATGAGAGTTGCCCTCGACGCACAGTAAGTGTTGCTCACAGGTATCTCTCCTCCCCCTCTTCTTCTCCTTCTCCTTCTCCTTCTCCTTCTCCTCTCTCTTCTCTCTTCTGTCATCATTTCCAAGCTTATCACCTCAACACTGATTGTTAACCAACCAAACAACTCTCACTAGCAAATCAGACTGCTTTTCTGCGTCGTTTAAAAGATTCAAAACAAAGAAAAGTATTGAGCAGATTTGCTGTTCTCTCCTTCCTTGTTCTCCCTTTGAAACTCACTTGTGTGTTGGTGGCTAACGTACTGTTGAGAACAGAAAATGCTTTTACCTTTTGTCGGAGGATTTATCTTCCTCACTCTCTGGGGATCATTCTTCCAAGTGCCAGGAAACAATGATCTTAGCGGGAGGTTCGCGAGGACCATATCCGACGCCGTGGGCGCAACGGCTTTGGCCAAGGGGATCTACGACCTGGCGGAGGCCATAACCTCCACGTACACGGCTCCTGGGCACAAGGAGTTCCTGTACATCCGCACGACTGGTTTACCAAGTCCTGCGGCCCATGTAGGTTTCCCGAACGCCACCGGCACGCGGAAGTCGACAATCAGCGTGGCTATCCCGCTGTGGGAGGAGGCCGACGTGTTGCAGATCTGCGTGGACTCCGGTCCCGTGGACCGCGACACGGCGGCATCAAACTCGCCCGCGTCGTCTTCTCGTGCCGGTCTGGTCGTTGTATGGGGCTTATTGGCTTTCATTGCGCTCCTTTGGAAGGGACTTGTCTCTTTTGGTGTTTCCGCACTGGGAGATAAACTCGGTTGGCTCGGCCAATTTCTCGAGGGTACACCCAAGGTAGCCCACTACCTTGCGGCCGACAGTGCTCCATCTCTGTACGAAGAGGTGGACGCTCTGGTCGAAGGCAAAATGCTCTCGGGGGTTGCCGTGTCCAGCTCTGATGTTGACGCTCTCACCAGATCCGCCATTGCGGCCCCGTTGGAAGAGCAACAGACGTGGGGATTCGTGAGTATCCACCCTGAGGTGGAGAAAGCGATCTCTCGTTTGGAGCGCCAGCGGATCGTCGCAGTGTCCCTGGAACTGGATTCCTGCACCGTCAAAGAGCCGAAGGTCAATCCCAACGGCGTCGTCGATGGACCCACGGACACCGCTCAAGGCACGTCCGATGTAGTCGGTTCGTCTGCTCTCCACCCGTCCCGGAAGTGGGCCCTCGTGCTCCGCCGTCCGGAGAACCTGTCACCAATTTTGGTGCTCCAAGTCGTGTGTGCTTTGCTCGCCGGTTGGGAGAGCCATACCGCTTCGGCGGTCCCTGACTCTCCAGGTTCACAGGTGGCCGAAGAGCCAGAGGCCGACGCAGAAGGCGCGCCTACCTCTGGCAGTCGGAGACGCAAGCGACCCAGCCAGGCCAAGAGGAAGCGCTACGCAAGGAGACTCAGGGAACGGGAAGAAGGCCTGAACGGGGCGGCGGATGAAGCGCCCTCCCCGTCAGCTCGTCCAACCGCTTGTGACCCTCCAGCGCCTACTCAAAGCCAGGCGTCTCTTATTGTAGGCAACAGGATCCCGTCGCAAGACGCGAGGCACGGGCAATTTGGCGGTCCTCGCCCGGCTCCCACACCTGTTATGGGTGTGTATCCGTCGCTGTACGGCTGGCAGCAACCCATGTACAGCCAACCGCCTCCTTACTACTATTACGGCTAGTAGTAGCTCGTCTAGTACTTCGTCGGTCTGACTTCGCAGTTGTCGACTGGGACCAAGATGTGTGCCTCCGTACTTCCCCCCTTTCTTCATGGACCAGTCAGTTCTTCAGGAGCCGGAGAAGGCAAGTTCGGTTGATAGGGCCAGTCCTCGGACTGGACCTCCCGGTCTTGTTCCTTCGGTCTCGCAGCCTGGCCGCTCTTGGGCCGCCACGACTTCTTGCGAGTTGGAATAGTTTAAGGAGAGACATGGTGTCAGGTTCGTGCGTCTGGCGGTGGAGTTCGGGAGTGAGTGACGGTACGGCAAGTAAAACGTGGTTGTCAAGTGAGTTTCCCGTATCTTGCCTTGCGATTCATTTTTCTCAAGCCGGTAGTAGGACATTCCGCCCTCTGGGGTGAGTTCTTTATTCTTCTCTCTTTCAGAAGAAACTGCTCGTCTTGTTGAAGGTCCGAGACTGAGCCCGACGACACCACGTTTTACGCCTTGACCAAATATTTTGAGGCCAGGAATCCATGAAATCAGCAGGCAGATACATATTCCTCTCATCTTTTGGCTTGCACTGTCTCTTCTCTCCGCATGAGTGCTCCTGCTCCTGCTTTTCTTTGTCACATCATCCACTCATGACACCTGAAGCGACTTTGCAACCTCGAGCCGACGGTCAGTGTAACAACGCTACAACCTGACTACTTCGAGTGGCATTATCCAGGGCTACTTCCGTCTAGACTCGAGGTATTGGAGTTGCGTCATTTCGCTGACCTCCGTCCAACTTCTATTCAACTTCTGCTGGACTGCTTCTTCTGGTGCAGAGGAGGAGTACATTATCCTGCTGGTACTGCATAATGGGTAGATGCTGATATCATCATGTCAAAACCAAGCACAGGAACAGGTGAGTAAGGAAGCTCTAGCACATCTTTCAGCTCTAACCTACCGCAGCCACAGGAAGCCACACGCCAGTCGTCATATCGGCTCTACTCTTCGCAGAAACAGACGCAATCAATCTCGTCGCACAGCGTATCAGACCTTCAGACCATCAGAATCGAACCACAGGCAATATTGATTCAATCTGTAACAAGATTGACCACTGCAACCACACTCACAAACGCAACGGGCTCTTCATTAGCAACCCTCCTCGGTCAGGAACATCAAATCGAATAACCAGACTCGCTATCTTGTCACAGACCACAATCTTCTGCTTTACGGGCCCGGAAGAGATCCTTCTCTACTCGCACATCGCGAATCTCACGACCAGAGGAGCAAAGTTCCCTTTCTCTGAGCCATATGCCTTCCGTCTCTAGCACACGATGAACCTCAGCGTGGATAACTGACTCTCGGATTCTCATCATCACCGTCATCACGCAAAGTTGATTGCTACAACATACGGTCGGCGCCATACATTTCCATCCACCTGACTCTCGGACTCTTACGTGGGGCTTACTCGAAGCTCATCTCTTCTGCTCATGCAAATAGCGAGACATTCCCCTCTCCACTCACGCATGGAAGTCCGTCTTCACGGAAACAGGTCCCTTTGCTCGTCCACGGACGCGTTCTTCGCATGAAAACGGACATGTATGCTGAAATTGGCTACTGCCGAAGAAGGAGGCAATGGCGACGCAGACTGTATTTTATCGAGAATGAGAGGGTTTTTTGTCAAGGAGAGTTGACTGAGCCTATCTTCGAAACAAGGTCGATGACTTATGATATTATGACCATGACACTATGACCCGGGGTGGATGGTTGCATTGCGTGGATACTGGGCCTGTTTTATTGTTCTTTGTACTTGCATGGTTGGTGTTATCTTGATTTTGGGACTCACGTGAAGTTCGATCTCTGTTGGCTTATGTATTCATTCTAATTCGTGGATGTGCTGGCACGAGTTGTCCCTAGCACATCAATTGCTACTCCACTACAACCCCATCTAATCACTTCTACAGTTGTTACATGAATACTTAATAAGGGATGATATTGTCGTATTGACAACTCACTCAATCGGGGATTTGTATACATAGAACAAGGAAAGCGGACAGTCGTAGACATCGGCAAATGAGGTATGTCCTGTTGTATATGGAAAAGGAAACATGCCGGGGATGGGCATCCTGAGGAGACCAATGATACATGAGATGGTTTGTACCAAGACAAGAACAATGAAAAGGTATAATGAAGGAAGGATATAAAAAATATGACGTTAGGCCAATAGGAAGAGCCCATGCGACGCAGCTGAATAGACCAGTGATATCCATCATATGCATCTCAGAAGCCCAGGTAGTCAGGTAGTATCAAGGTGCAAGCCTCGGGTATACAGTTCCTGACACTTTCCCTAGACGCGAACGGGGATGCTAAGTCCAAAAAAAAGCAGAAACCACGGACAAATGGCTGGGACAAAAGCAATGCTCATACATCATCGTAAATACCACAAACTGAGGCACAGCTGTGTCATCTACCCTCAAGGATAGGACAGATGAGTTAAAAGGAAGGGTAAAGGGAAAACATGCGGCACACAGTGAGAGAATGGTACCGGCACACCTTCTATTCCTCCATGCGACCAAAGACGCCGTCGTCATCGTCATCCACATGAGCAGGACGATTGCTGAAGTCGACATCGGCATTGCGGTTCTGCCTTTGCACACGATCCGCATCACCCATTTTCACTTCCCGCTCGTCGGAGACCTTGTAGGAGAGTGATGGGTTATATGATACAGAGACGAAGATGTTCGGGGTGGACTCGGTGAGAGACGACTTGGCTTTGGCAGTAGCGGCAGGGTCCAGGCTTTGACTAATGCTGCCGGTACCGTTGCTTTGGTCGAGGTACCGAGACGGGAGCGGGGGTACCGGGGGAATGCCAGGGGACATCGGCACAGGTCCAGTGCGCGGCGTTCCGAAATTGCAGAGGCCAATGGCAGCTGCCAAATCCGCTTCATCGTCCTCATGCAACTTGGCTTCGGCGGTGGAAGGCCGGGTGTCGATGCTCGAGTGCCGGAAGTGCGAAAAGGCAGGCGAATGCAGAGGAGCATCGCCGTTGAAGGAGCTCGAGGGAACCGACTGGTAGGAATGGGAAAAGTGAGCCGATACGTTGCCCACACTGTATCGTTTGTTCGGGAACACGGGCATGCCCGACATCTCCATGTCCACTTCGTCCTCGTCGTCCTCATCCATAGGAGGAGGGGTAGTTTCCGCCGAGCTGATGCCGTCGCGAAGCTCCGACGAGGTGTCGGGTGACGCAGAAGACTGGTCCGACTCGGCTTCGGCACCTTCTGAAGGGCCGTTCTGGTTCATGTTAACCAGGACGCTCGCGGCCTCCAGCAGCTGAACTTGCTGATGCTTGGAGATCAGTAGTTTCGACGTAATGGCCCATGCCGGGTCATGTTCCCACCTAAAGATTTTCAACCACAAACGTCAACCGACTGGGATCGCCATGAGGGGTGAGAAAGCTCAGAGGGGGGAAATGAGCAGGGATTTGGGGACACGCGGGGAGCTGAATGACCACGAGGGCGACCTTGCAACAGAGCCAACATGGCGCATTGCTCCGATTCGATCCAGGCTGCAGGATGGCATTGGGGGGGAGTATACACACATATGCTTGGACAAGCAGCTGCCATGCTTATACCCTTTCCCGCAGCGATCGCAGCGTAGTTCCGCCAAGGCGCGCTTTCCTTCGCCTTTGACCAGGTGCGATCCTTCGCTGGCCCGACGGTTTCGACTCTTGGTGTTGACGGGTTTGTTATCCGAACTACTCTCCTCGCCGCCAGCTGCGGCGACGGAAGAAGCGCCGTTGGTGGAATGATTGGGAGAGGGTTTGCGAGCGACCGCGGGTTCTTGGCTGGGGCTGTTCATGCTCCGGGAGAGATAGTGGCCGAAGCCGGAGAGCGCTCCGACCGAAGTGGATTCCAGGCCCCTCCTGGTGCTGCCTCGACGGTGAGAAGGCATCGGCACTCCTATCGGCTCCCCATTGGTGTCCTTCATGGATGCGGCGACCGCGGCGGCGGCGGCATTCGCAGCAGCAGCGGTGGTGACACTCTTCCGACGAGTGACACGGTGGTTATGATTGACCGCTCCAAGGGATATGGAGTGGGCATGGTGACGAGGTGTGGATTGAGGTAGTGGTCGGGACAGGGATAATTCCTTCGAATAGGGAGCAGGCACATCAGTTAGCGCGGTCATCTTAACGTGGTCATTCATGGTTCATGACTGATCCGTAGAGAGGAGAAGGGACAAGCAAGTAAAAAAAGCAGGTGAAATACCTTGAATGAAGCCATGCTGTATACGTGGACTCTCGAACTTTCAATCGCTGAGAGCCCCGTGAACACAAGGCAGTAGGTAAGGCAACTCTTTTTTTTTGGTGTGTGTGTTTTTAAGGTTTGGTCGTGATGGTCCCAAAAAAAAGTGGTGAGAGGGTGGTGTGGTTGGGCCGGTTATAAGAGGAAAGTCACCTGGAATTGTTCTGGGGAGGCTGAATGAGTAATATGGACTGGAAGTCAAATGACGAGACGAGCAATTGGAAAGTAGATAGAATGCCCGAAATTGGAGAGATCGGAGGATGAGAGGATACGATATGTAGGGAGAAGAGAAGAGGAGAGGAAATGTAGGAGGAAGAGAAAGGGAAAGAGGGAAAAGAAAGGAAGATAGAAAGAGGAGAAGCTGAAAGAGAGAAGCAGCAGTAGATGTAAGTAGGTACTTGGTATTTGGTGGACAAGCAAGAGGAGGCCCAGGTACCTTTGGATATGTAAGTCAGTCAGGAAGTAATCCACCTGCTGCTGCAACTAGGTAATCCACTAGGTAATACTAATACTCATACTACTACTAATAATAATCAATGAGCGATATAAAGTCAAGACCAAACATGAACCGTACGGTAAACATTTATCTAGTAATAATGGAGAATGCTAAATAATAATAATGCTAATGCCAATAATAATAATAATAAATAATCAAATAGTTGCTATGTGCTCTGTACTGTACGTGCTTTAAAGATTGTCAGTGCCTTTTTTTTGCGGGGGGGCATTTTTGGCTCCAGCGGAAATTCGCTAGTTGAGGTGATGCGGGGGTGCTGGACACTGAGCAGTAAATAGTAACTGATTAGAGAGAATGCAATTGATCAGAGTGTAAGTAAGTAAGTAAAGAGAAAGATTATTGATGCTTGAGAATTGCAGGAAAATTATTATTTAAACTTGACAAAAGAGGGGAAAGGGAGTGAAAGGAAAAAAAAAAAAAAAAAAGTGATGAACTCCCCTAGCTGAAGAAAAGAGTTCCGATCAACGTGATTTGATATCGCACAGGTTCCTGACTAAAGGGGGCCGAAAGGGCCAGCGGCAAAACAGGGCGAGAGTCAGCAAGAAATACGGCGTAGATACAAGCAGCTAGCTACCTTTAGTTGCAAGGACAAAGAACAAATGGCTGTAGATAGCTTGGGTTGTAAATAGTTGGCAGCGATGTGATCATTTAGGATCCACTTTGAATCTGGAATTCATATCACTCATCCCGGGGGAGAACCTAGGTTGCTTATGATATCTTACCAGAATACTTTCGAGCATCAGAGTAGATCGAGCCCAATATCGAGATGGAAGACTGACTCGGACGGAATTCCGGCAGACAGGGCAAAAAAATCGACACCTATGATCTGGACGTGAATACGGAACTGGGCAAGTCTCAAGAGATCAGCTGCCCTGTCATCCGCACGGGCACTTTGGCAGGAGATCACATCATTAGGCGTAATAAACCAGGTAATTTACTCAGTTACGGAGACTTCCATTCGAAAGCTGCCCCACCAGCACCGCCCATTGCCCGTATCGGAATTGCCTCATCCTATCGATTGTATGGGATGTTGACCCCACTGTTCGGTCCACGTATGGGCATCCTGTAATTTTGGTCACTGCCGCCGTACTTACAATTGTACTCTGGTTCGCTGGCGATGCTCTCCCATCGACCGGTCTAGGGCTCTGGGAAAAGACAAATGATGTCATCCATGCCTTACAGTACATTCGACACCTGATCCCCGTGTCCATCCTATCCCAGATAGGAAAACACGTATCTCTGCCTGTTTCATTGTTACATGCCGGTATCATTATCATTGAGACACCTGACCCTGGCTTACCACACGTTGCTTACCTAGCCCAGCATGCCTTAGTTACGTTGCTCAATCATGATCGCCAGGAACTTCCATGCTACTGGACCTCTCGACAGGAGAGGTACTATGATAAACGGACTGTCTCTTCAAGGCTTCATTTTCAGTCCACCTCAGTTACCAGGGAGAGAGAGACACCTATTGATAGATATCATGTCGACTCTGCGCCCATCAAATTAT